TTATACTTTGGGATTCTATAGCTAGTTTTTGCTTAGGGCTTAATAACCAGGATAGGATAGAGCCAGGATAGGCATTCAGTAGCCACAAAGGGATCATAGGCTTAGAGGTCCAGTTGCACGTCAGATTAGAAACTATTAGGGAGGGACTAAAGCGCAGTAGATAGGTTAAATCTGAGTTCCAGTGCTACATTTCCAGTGCCATACCACAGTTTCTGCTGGGGAGAAGATCTGTTTCTGGCTGGCTGAACAACAGTTGGAAGATTTCTCCATGGCCAAATATCTTGTCTTCAGATCTTGGACACAAGGAGAGACACCACATCATCCTCAGGGGCGCCAGCAACTGGACTCTGCTGCAATATTAACCTGGAGGTATCTTTATTAATAACTATATGTAGCCGGATATTTGTGCCCAATTCCACCAGGACTCCTATTGGGCCCTATGTAGATAATACCTGTTTGTACATTGGATGTATGTACTGTTGTTAATCTCTTCTTATAAAGAGTTTATATTATTTATATACTGGTGTGCATCTAATGGTTATATTATATTCTGGCATTTCTATTGCTCCCAATTACTTTGTTTAGATAACTGATTTAAGGTAGTTCTAAAATCAAAAAGTTTTTTTCCTATGGCCTGTTTCACATGGGCTTCAGCCTATGTAAGAGCAATGTGAATAGCAAGCTTTGGCAAAGCATTTGTAGAGCTTTCAACAAGCTTTGTCGAAGCTTTTAAAGTACCATTCAACTCCAGTTGGCAAATGCTAAACATAGATCCTAATGGGAGTATTGATTGTCACTTTAAGCAAGCTTCAGCAGGCATTCAACAAGCTTCAAGAGGTTCTGAAGCCTGCTATCAGCTTGCTTAAAGTGGCAGTCATCACTCCCATTAGGATCTGTGTTCAGCATTTACAAACTGGAGCTGGATGGCAATTTAAAAGCTTCAATAATGCTTGCTGAAAGCTCTGCAAATGCTTTGCCAAAGTTTTCTTTTTAACAATCTGCTCTTTGGGGAGGGCCATGTCTCTTCGCATCCCAAACCCCCCTCCAAAAGAGGGCGACAAGTACTACATTCAATCATCCAATTATGTGTGGGCAAAAAACCTGTTTCACCTTTGCTTCTCATTCACTAAAATAAATGTAAATTCACTTTGAAAGTGAACATTCTTAACTCCTTTAATACACTGACCCATGGTCTTCTTTACACATGATTTAATTCTAAGCACATGGGCTGATAAGAGAGCTATCTCTTTTTTCACTCTAATTGATGGAAATAATGCTATTGTTAGCTTTTTACCTTAACAAGATGAGAGATAATGTTAGACCAGGGGTGGGCAAACTTTTTGACTTGAGGGCCGCAATGGGTTCATATATTGGACCCGGGGGCCGGACCAAGAGTAGATGAATGATGTGTATGTGTCATCCATAGTAAGTATAGTAATATTCCCCCATAGTAAGCATAGTAATTAATCCCCCATATAGTAATTCATCCCCCATAGTAATTCATCCCCCATATAGTAATTCATCCCCCATAGTAATTCATCCCCCATATAGTAATTCATCCCCATAGTAATTCATCCCCCATATAGTAATTCATCCCCCATATAGTAATTCATCCCCCATAGTAATTCATCCCCCATATAGTAATTCATCCCCCATAGTAATTCATCCCCCTTATAGTAATTCATCCCCCATATAGTAATTCATCCCCCATAGTAATTCATCCCCCATATAGTAATTCATCCCCCATAGTAATTCATCCCCCATATAGTAATTCATCCCCCCTATAGTAATTCATCCCCCAAAGTAATTCATCCCCCATATAGTAATTCATCCCCCATATAGTAATTAATCCCCCATATAGTAATTAATCCCCCATATAGTAATTCATCCCCCATATAGTAATTCATCCCCCATAGTAATTCATCCCCCATATAGTAATTCATCCCCCATAGTAATTCATCCCCCATATAGTAATTCATCCCCCATAGTAATTCATCCCCCATATAGTAATTCATCCCCCCCATATAGTAATTCATCCCCCATAGTAATTCATCCCCCATATAGTAATTCATCCCCCATAGTAATTCATCCCCCATATAGTAATTCATTCCCCATATTAATTCATCCCCATATTAAGTCCCCAAGTCCCCCCTGTGTCAATTCACTTACCTTTGCTCCGCGCGTTCCTCTCGCCGTGTGTTCCCGCGCCGTTTCGGTGTAGCATGAAAATCTGTCTCCTATGAGGATCTGTCCCCCTCGACGTATCTGCGCATGTGCCAGTTTCAGGCATTAGCAGCCGATCGGCGATCTCCGGCACATGTGCAGATACGTCGAGGGGGACAGATCCTCATAGGAGACAGATTTTCATGCTACACCGGTCTTCAGAGCGGACTGTGAGAGGAGCCTAGCGGGAGCCTAGCTCCGCGGGCCATATTAAAAGGTCCGGCGGGCCGTAGTTTGCCCATTGCTGTGTTAGACTGTACTGAGGCCTGATGTTCGGAATAACCATAGCTCTAAAGGTACCCATACACATGAGATGGCAGATGCCTAATCTGGTATTGATGCCACATTTATGGGACCTACTTCCATATGATAGCCAAACATTCTCTGGAAAAACAATTAGTTAAGCAGGTTTGTACCAGTTGCTCTTGTTCCTTCTTGTGATAGCCAGTGCCAGATTCTTCCTTCCCTTCTCTTTACCATTAACTAAACATGAGCCAAGCTAATGGACAGTAATTCCAAAAATATTTGTCTTGCTCAGCCAGGTAGAGTGGAATGAAGATGTGGACTGTGTAAGTAAACCACTGTTTGGGACTAATCATATATTACTCCCTCGGAATGGTGCCTGCCCCAACGTAAGTTTAGGCCAAAAGCTTGTACCCATTTCTGAACATGGAGGACCATGCACAAAATCTCAGATGAGAGCAGTTCCCAAGGTAAATGTAATGGATTATTTACACTTATCTCCACCATGTCTTTTGAAAGGAAATAGCATGCAAAACACAGCTCTCAGCACTAGTGTACTTTAGAATTATTGTGGTTTCTGTTTAAATTGAAATTCTTAGGTTTATAGCCTGCTGTATTGTTGACTACTGCTGGTAGCATAAGTATGCTGAAACAGTAAATGTGAATTATCTATTATAGCTACAAATTAATTTGATGTTCTAATATATGTCTTCTACTTAGAATTAATTAATAATCTTAATGGAAATATTTCTAGTGGCTCTTCTTCTTCTAATGCTCTAATGGTAAATATGTGATCACAGATATGATATCATAACAGAAATTAATTTCTAAGTCATAAAGTATGAAAGCATAAAAAGAAGTCATAGAAAAATTACCATGAATATAAAAAGTAGATGAAGAAAGGAATGGATGCAGCCAACTGTAACATGCGCCAATCCTGAATTAGATAAGCCAATCCCACCAGGACCAGCTGGCCCACTGTGTAACAGTATCCAGTGGCTGTGCTGGTAAAAGCTCGTGATTCTGTGGGGATCCATTCCACAACTATAGAGAAATTAAAGTGTTACATGGTAAGCAAAACAAATTCTAGGAGCATCCATAAAGATAATTAATGTAGACTGTTTTTAGTGAGTACATATTCTGAGCTATATCTGCAGTATTAATCTTAACCATTTTTTTGCTGTGGCTTTCATGGCTTTTATTTTCACACTCTTCCTGTTCTATATTTTTTAACATAATAACTACATCAAATTATAGCTCAGCTACTATGCTAAAGTCATTCTGCCAAGTGAACCTGTTTGTCAGGAATGGACTTGCCAATAGTGGTGGGACTCACCTGCCTTGTGGGCTGCAGTACCAGGGCTGGCCAGCGGGGTGCTCTCAACAACCAGAGGCTCACTTCGACAATTAGCCATCACCTGGGGCTGATTGCAGGTGGTGTATTTAAGGGATGGCCAGACCCTGTAGTCTGTGCCTTGTTGTACTGTTTGCTTGGCCCTGGTTTCCTGATCCTGTTTCTGCTGTCCTGACGCTGCCTGAACTCTGCCTGTACTGACCTCGGCTAGTCCTGACACTCTCCCCCCGCTTGCTCCTGGTACTCCGTTTGCCCGTTTGCTACCGACCCGGCCTGCCTGACTACTCTTGTATCATATGTTTGTTATCTGTTGGAGGTTTGGTTCAGTTTGTTTGCACTATGTTATGTTTAGTTTTGCACTGCGTTTTGTATTGTTAGTCTTAATAAATTATATTATTTACTATATCTGAAGCCTGTGTTTCCCTGTGCCAGCCCACACACTTCTGGTCATACCCGCATCCCTGACATTACAACAAGGCCATCCTGACCAGAAGTGGCTGCACAGGGAAGCCATCTTGGGCTTGTTGCTGGGAAGGATGGATCTTGATGAGGTTGTGTATTTGTCGCTGCTGGTTTATGATGACAGAGAATATGCTTATCAGACTCTGAGGGAGTATACCCGGGATCAACTGCTAGAATGTATACGGGTCGCTCATGTTCTAGTAGATCAGGGCACAGAATTCTCTGAAGTGCAACCTTTGATTCAGGTTTGTGCAGAGTTGGCTTCATCTGGTACCCCTGAACGCAGGAATGACTTTTTGCCACCATTTAGTGCAGACCAGGTAGAGTCCCTGGTATGGTTATTAGAGGATGATGTGGATTGCTTCTTGGAGCATTATGCTGCATGTTCACAACAGGTATTAAGGGATTGTATAAAACGCAGTGCAGTCTTTGACCAGGCAGGCTTTGTGTAAGCTGAGCTTTTGTTCAACCCTTACTGCAGACATGGTCAGACTTGTTGCACCCAGCCTCAGTCAGCTTACAACGTCATTCCTCCGCTCAAGGCACTCTTCCTGCATCCCCGACAGCACCGCCAGTGACGGCCCAGTATACTCTGCTAACTACCACATATCAGTCCTCTGCTCCCACTCGCTGCACCTATCCTGCCTTTAACCCTGTAAAGAAGTCCTCTGTAGCAACTGCTCCCTCCTCTGTTCCATCCTCCAGCTCTTCTCTGTCTTCAGCTGCTCCATCCGTTTACAAACCTGCGCTTACTTACAGTGCTCCGGTAACTAAAACCAGGAAAAGGCGAAAATTCTTTCCAACCAATACCATCCTGCCAGTATCCAAACTGGTCAGGCCTGCAGCTGGTGCCTCGGCGCCCACAATTCAGCCTGATGTCTCTACCCAGCCCTGATGTCTCTACCCAGCCTGATGTCTCTACCCAGCCTGATGATCCTATTATGCCAGGTGACTCGGTGCCCGCTGTCTTGCCAGACAACTCGGTGCCCGCAGTCCTTGCCAGATGACTCGATGCCCGCTGTTCCGCCAGATGAATTGGTACCCGCTGTCTTGCCAGATGACTCGGAGCCCGCGGTCTTGCCAGATGACTCGGAGCCCGCGGTCTTGCCTGATGACTCGGAGCCCGCGGTCTTGCCAGATGACTCGGAGCCCGCGGTCTTGCCAGATGACTCGGAGCCCGCAGTCTTGCCAGATGACTCGGTGCCCGCGGTCTTGCCAGATGACTCGGTGCCCGCGGTCTTGCCAGATGACTCAGTGCCCGCAGTCTTGCCAGACGATCCAATGCCTGATGACCCAGTGCCCGCTGTCATGCCTGATGACTCGATGCCCGCTGTCGAGCCAGACGATCCAATGCCTGATGACCTAGTGCCCGCTGTTGTACCTGGTGACCCGATGCCCGCTGTCGAGCCAGATGGCCCGGTGCCCGCCGCTCCGCCTGAGGGCCCGGTGCCCGCAGCTCCGCCTGGGGGCCCGGTGCCCGCCCGCTCCGCCTGGGGGCCCGGTGCCTGCCTTTCCGCCTGGTGGCCCGGTGCCCGCCGCTCCGTCTGGGGGGCCCGGTGCCCGCCGCGCTCCGCCTGGGGGCCAGGTGCCTGCCTTTCCACCTGGTGGCCCGGTGCCCGCCGCTCCGCCTGGGGGCCCGGTGCCCGCCGCTCCGCCTGGGGGCCTGATGCCCGCCGCTCTGCCTGGTGGCCCGGTGCCGCCGCTCCGCTTGGTGGGCCCGGTGCCCGCTGCTCCACCTGGTGATCCGGCGTCCAGCCTGATGTGCCTCCATCCGGTGCCCAGCCCGAAGTGCCTCCGTCCGGTGTCCAGCCCGAAGTGCCTCCGTCCGGTGCCCAGCCCGAAGTGCCTCCGTCCGATGTCCAGCCCGAAGTGCCTCCGTCCGGTGTCCAGCCCGAAGTGCCTCCGTCCGTGTGTCCAGCCCGAAGTGCCTCCGTCCGGTGTCCAGCCCGAAGTGCCTCCATCCGGTGTCCAGCCCGAAGTGCCTCCCCGTCCGGTGTCGAGCCCGAAGTGCCTCCGTCCGGTGCCCAGCCTGATGTGCCAGTCTTTGATATCCCACCAGTCACCGGACCCGGGAGGTGGAACATTTTGCCAAGCTAGGACTGTTTGGAGCGTCCTGAGGCCGCTCCTTGGGGGGGGGGTACTGTCAGGAATGGACTTGCCAATAGTGATGGGACTCACCTGCCTTGTGGGCTGCAGTACCAGGGCCTGGCCAGTGGGTGCTCTCATCAACAACCAGAGGCTCTCACTTCGGCAATTAGCCATCACCTGGGGCTGATTGCAGGTGGTGTATTTAAGGGATGGCCAGACCTGCAGTCTGTGCCTTGTTGTACTGTTTGCTTGGCCCTGGTTTCCTGATCCTGTTTCTACTGTCCTGACGCTGCCTGAACTCTGTTGGTTTGCCCGTTTGCTACCGACCCGGCCTGCCTGACTACTCTTGTATCGTATGTTTGTTATCTGTTGGAGGTTTGGTTCAGTTTGTTTGCACTGTGTTATGTTTAGTTTTGCACTGCGTTTGTATTGTTAGTCTTAATAAATTATATTATTTACTATATCTGAAGCCTGTGTTTCCCTGTGCCAGTCCACACACTTCTGGTCATACCCGCATCCCTGACACTGTTATTATTTAAAGAACCTTACATTATTATATAGGCACTTAGCAATGCTATTTAATCATTAGTAAAATACAGTACATTATAATTATTTCGATCACCTTATTTCTTGCTCCTCCGCTGTCCAGTGCTCCTGGGATGTGGGTGTCCTCGTGTATAATTCAGGACCTCTGGGCCTACATTGTATGTGATGATATCAGAAAGCTACAACTGGTCGGATTCTTTCCAGGACATGAGTACAACAAAATGGCCACTGAACCTTCTTCCTTGAGGATGATGACAGTAGTTACCTTTTTAGGTGTCCTCAAAGAAGGAGGCTCGGTGCACATTTTGTAATAGCCCATGTCTTGGAAAGAAGTCAGGATTTAGGAATATAATATTGCCAGTGTGTGTGGGTCAGGCTTCATGAGTGACACAAAAGGCCTACAGATGTGGCATTTGCATTAAACAATTTTTTTGTAATCAGTACAGCATATTTTTAAAACTTTGTACCAGTTTATTTAAAAGGTGTCCAAGATTGTTGGACACCCGTACTGATACAGTAATGTTATCATAAACTAGATACTTACTCAGAGAATATGAGGTTGAGAACAATACCAGAGAGAGATGCTCCAGTCAGAAATCTGAACACACAGTATGTGATGTAATTGGGAGCAAAGGATGCACATATTCCACTCACAAACATTCTGAAGGTTTGACCATATGTTCAAAGGTCTGCGACCAAACCTGTTATGATAGGAAAATATTTTCTGAATTCCAGGACATCGATAAAACTACTAGTATCATTTTAATTTAAATGTGTAAAAAGTATTACATTAAACCAGTAATTTTATTGTATTAAACACGATGTATAGTTCATGTTTTTATAAAAAAGATAAGTCAACTGTCAATTGATGGAAAACTCCATACAAAACTTTTTTAATCTTTTGAATATAGTGGTAAAGGGGGCATCCTCTCAAAATGGATAAAATCAGTTTCAGGTAAATTCACAGATTTCATTATTTGTTAATACATTTTCAAATATCTTTGGATCAAAAATGCACAGATGTCTACTGTCTAGAACTGACTACATAGATCTTTGGCCCTGTAGTGTAGATCATGATAAAAACTCTTTGAGTCATTACAATTAAATGACATGCGAAAGAAATTTATAAAGAATTATGTAGTCTGCAGTTTCTCAAACTATCATCTTGAGAATGTTGGTTACCTGAGTGTCATGCTGATGCTCTGGCTTCCATACTTTGAGTTACTGACCCAGAACATGTATATACTATGGATAAGGATTTCTAACAAGTTTCTGACACTCATTTATGTTTATCTCATTTCAAAAATGGCGGCGACATGTGTGGCGACGGAGAAAATGGACAGAGAAGATGGGGCGGGGATCTCTGGGAAGGCGCGCAGACAAGGCGCGCTGACCCATAATGCATTCATGACATGTGTTCGCATTAGCCAATCAGCAGCCAGCCAGCACTGTGTAATGGTGGAGCTATAAATCGCGGCCATCTTAGAATTCTCCATTAGCCTCCGGTCATTCAAGAGAGACAGACCTGTCTGTGTGTGTATTAAGGGACAGAGTTAGGGCCACAGAGACTTTAGGGCCACAGAATCGTTACTCAGGGACACAGAATCGTTACTCAGGGACACAGAATCGTTACTTAGGGCCACAGCTATCAAAGAATCGAAAATTTAAAGTGACATACACCCTTTTTTTTTTTGGTGGCTGTCGTGCACAGTTGGTGCTGCAGTTTGCCGATTGTGCAAATAAACTGACTTTCTGCTTCACAACCACTATTGTACGTTCAAAGAGTTAAATCCATTTACACGCCGGCTGGCGGTAATATTTTTTTGGGTGATTAGTGCATTCCAGTGACAGAAACGTACAGTTTCCAGCCAACGGCAAGCTGCAATTGACCGATTGTGTACAATAAACTGACTTTCTGCTTCACAACCACTATTGTACGTTCAAAGAGTTAGATCCATTTACACGCCGGGTGGCGGTAATATTTTTTTTGGGTGATGATTAGTGCATTCCAGTGACATAAACGTACAGTTTCCAGCCAACGGCAAGCTGCAATTGCACCGATTGTGCTAAATAAACTGACTTTCTGCTTCACAACCACTATTGTACGTTCAAAGAGTTAAATCCATTTACACGTTCACCGCCGGCTGGCTGGCGGTAATATTTTTTGGGTGATTAGTGCATTCCAGTGACATAAACGTACAGTTTCCAGCCAACGGCAAGCTGCAATTGACCGATTGTGCTAAATAAACTGACTTTCTGCTTCACAACCACTATTGTACGTTCAAAGAGTTAAATCCATTTACACGGCCGGGTGGCGGTAATATTTTTTGGGTGATTAGTGCATTCCAGTGACATAAACGTACAGTTTCCAGCCAACGGCAAGCTGCAATTGACCGATTGTGTAAATAAACTGACTTTCTGCTTCACAACCACTATTGTACGTTCAAAGAGTTAAATCCATTTACACGCCGGCTGGCGGTAATATTTTTTGGGTGATTAGTGCATTCCAGTGACATAAACGTACAGTTTCCAGCCAACGGCAAGCTGCAATTGACCGATTGTGCTAAATAAACTGACTTTCTGCTTCACAACCACTATTGTACGTTCAAAGAGTTAAATCCATTTACACGCCGGCTGGCGGTAATATTTTTTGGGTGATTAGTGCATTCCAGTGACATAAACGTACAGTTTCCAGCCAACGGCAAGCTGCAATTGACCGATTGTGTACAATAAACTGACTTTCTGCTTCACAACCACTATTGTACGTTCAAAGAGTTAAATCCATTTACACGCCGGGTGGCGGTAATATTTTTTGGGTGATTAGTGCATTCCAGTGACATAAACGTACAGTTTCCAGCCAACGGCAAGCTGCAATTGACCGATTGTGCTAAAATAAACTGACTTTCTGCTTCACAACCACTATTGTACGTTCAAAGAGTTAAATCCATTTACACGCCGGCTGGCGGTAATATTTTTTGGGTGATTAGTGCATTCCAGTGACATAAAACGTACAGTTTCCAGCCAACGGCAAGCTGCAATTGACCGATTGTGCTAAATAAACTGACTTTCTGCTTCACAACCACTATTGTACGTTCAAAGAGTTAAATCCATTTACACGCCGGGTGGCGGTAATATTTTTTGGGTGATTAGTGCATTCCAGTGACATAAACGTACAGTTTCCAGCCAACGGCAAGCTGCAATTGACCGATTGTGCTAAATAAACTGACTTTCTGCTTCACAACCACTATTGTACGTTCAAAGAGTTAAATCCATTTACACGCCGGCTGGCGCGGTAATATTTTTTGGGTGATTAGTGCATTCCAGTGACATAAACGTACAGTTTCCAGCCAAACGGCAAGCTGCAATTGACCGATTGTGTACTAAATAAACTGACTTTCTGCTTCACAACCACTATTGTACGTTCAAAGAGTTAAATCCATTTACACGCCGGCTGGCGGTAATATTTTTTGGGTGATTAGTGCATTCCAGTGACATAAACGTACAGTTTCCAGCCAACGGCAAGCTGCAATTGACCGATTGTGTAAATAAACTGACTTTCTGCTTCACAACCACTATTGTACGTTCAAAGAGTTAAATCCATTTACACGCCGGGGTGGCGGTAATATTTTTTGGGTGATTAGTGCATTCCAGTGACATAAACGTACAGTTTACAGCCAACGGCAAGCTGCAATTGACCGATTGTGCTAAATAAACTGACTTTCTGCTTCACAACCACTATTGTACGTTCAAAGAGTTAAATCCGGTTTTATTTTTGGGGTGCTTATTGAATTA